AACTGTGTGCAGGTCCAATTGTTTTTTTGGGGGTGGGGGTGGGGGTAGGGAGTGGGGGGAGGACAGATATACGTTAAACACAACAGAAGGGAGTGAAGACAAACTACGGTACGCCATTTTTCACACAAGCAATTCTTTTTCTTTTTAATAATCAGTTATGCCTGCAAAGCCAACCATGTAATTGTATTTGCACCATCCAAAAAACACACAAACAAAAAGGGGGGTAAAGACATAATGTGGAATGCCATTTTTTTCTTGATGTTTCTACTCATAAGGCATAGGCCAGTCATTTTTTTGCTACCCAAAAAGTTTTATGTCCCTAAAGTTCTCTAGATTTCCTCTCCTTCATCACTTCTGTTGCATTTGGCTTCTCTTGTTTTTTGGGACAAGTGCGAATGTTATGGTCATGTGATCCACAACCACTACATGTCACCAAACCCTTGCTTCTAATCACATTTATCAGCCTCTTTTTTCTTGGCTCACTCTTGTGCCTGCCTTTGCTATTAGAGCATTTTGGATCCAGTAAAACAGAAGTAGAAGCAATTCCAACCATATCTGTTGTTTCAATTTCAGCAACCGCACCCTTTGTGCTCTCAGCATCAATACCAACACCACTAGGACCCATCAATGTACCAGTTTGAGCACCAACAGAAGCTACACCACAAGTTGTCGCCGCCGCATCCTGAACATGAACAGTAGCCTCGTTAGGAGCCGTATCACTCATTGCCTTCAACCCATCTTCAATCTTGTCACTTTCATTCATCACATATATAAACTTTTCTTTTGTTTTTGATGCATCTGAAGCTAACTTAATCATTTTCTGTGACAAGATGTTGAACCTGAGTAAAGGGTTGCTTTCAAGAACAGTAGCAGACATCAATGTGTTTGGCACAGATAATTCTTGGTTTTTGTCTTTCAGCCTCCATCTTTCAATAAAATATTTCTCAGGTAGTTTTGTTATGTTCAAGTGAATGAGTACTTTGAGCACATGAACACACAAAATACCATCCTTCTTAAATCTTGAACAGATACATTCATATTCTTCAGATATAGTATCAACAAACACAATATACTTCCTTTTTCTGAAATCCTGTAGTGCATGAATCTCTGATTTGTACACCTCAAAAATAGAATCACGCACATTTACGGTCACATCATACTTGGTATAGCTTTGCAAGATACGCTGAAATGCCCAAAATATCTTCCTAATATATAGTTTTGCAGCTTGCTTCTCAAATTGATATTCTGACCAAGCATCTAGAACAGTATTCCTAGTCAGCGATTCCTGTTCTTTGAAGCACTCATAAATTGTTTTTGCAATCCTTTCATACTGTGCTAGGAATGCAGAAACACTATGAGATGAACAAATGTCAGCTTTGTACCTTGAATTTGTCCCCTCACTCCTTGCTGTTGTCTGAATCAAAGGGCACCAATTGCTTTTGAAGTAAACTAGTGCCCATCTCTTTCTAGTGACCCACATAAGCTGAAAATACCTAACATTATACAGATTGTTTCTTCTTATTAAATCTTTCCACAAATATTCAAATTCAGCCTCTGTCTGGGATTTTGTAACAATATCATGGAAATCCTTGTAAACTTCTTCATCCTCTGAATTGAATGTCCTTCCTGTTTTGTCCCTTGCATTTGATAACATATGGAACAGGCAATTCCTATGAACAGTGTCTGGAAAAACTATGGCAATAGCAGCCTTCATTGCCAAGTCTTGATCAGTTATAATAGTAGCAGGAACCTTGCCACCCATACAATCAAGGAACGTTTTGAACAACCACTGAAAAGTCTCACTTGTTTCATCTTGTAGGAATGCATAACCAAATAGGCAATTGTCACCATGACTAGTTATCCCTACAAATGGAGCAAAGGGCAAATCATACCTATTTGTCTTGTACATCGTGTCAAAACTAACTATGTCATCAAACATCTCATAAAATTTTCTGTTGTTCCCATCGGACCAAAACAGACTCTTCACAACATTGTTCTCATCAGTTCTGAATCTGAAATAAAACAATGGATCCTCTGATCTTTTCTTCTCAAAAAAATCCAAACACTGCATCATGTCATTTTTCCCACTTTCTCTTCTAACAAAATCTCTATAATTGCCCACAGTCTTTTTTGTGTAAGGAACTGCAGACAAGCCACCCCTAACATATGACAAAACAGACATAATCATCCTTGTGGGCACATTGATTTTGTTCAGAGTTCTTATCAAAAGTTTCTCCTGGTCTGTCATATGTTTGTGAGACCTTAGGAATTTTCTTTCTTCTGGTGGAGATAGTGGATGATTGTGCTCTAGATTGAGCCTTGTAATGTACCAAAAGCCCCTCTTCAATGTTATCACCATCTCAGCTTTGCAATTTGTGTAAACCACTTTGTTCTGTTTTCTCTTTTTTTACTAATGGATTTGTTGTGTTTGTTTGCAAACAATTCTCAACTTCATCAACCTCAGGCAGGTCCTTCTCCTTTGGATCACTTGGTTTCCTCCACCTGTTGCATTTGAACGTGTGCCTTGTCACAACATCGGTTTTTCTGCTATGGTAATTGCTAGCTTTGCATGTAGAGAAACCAACCATATAAGCATAACCATTGTAGAAGTCAAAAGCTTCATTCTCATCAGCAAAAACTTTGTTGATTGACGGCACATGTGCACTGTTAGCATCCTGACCACCTCTCTGAACAACTGCTACACTTTCATTCTCCAGAAATATGTTTATATCTTCCTCACTAAAATTTTTATCTAGATTTTCTGCACTTTTATCTTGTTCTATTTCCTCAACTTGCTGAAATGTAACTATTGCATGATCAGACAATAAATCCTCTTCTGTTGCTTGCTCAAAGTGCTGGTCAAAACAGGCATCAGCCTCAATAGTTTGAGTCTGCATTTCATTATAAATCACTTCTACAGATGATGCTTTCAATTGTACTGTTGGCCTGCACATCTCAGCTTGATTATCAACATCAGCGCTTGATTTCTGCATTTCATCATATAACATGTCCAGTGATGCCACAGGAGGATGCACAGCCACACTTTGTGGCAAAGAGTTGCACATCTGAGACGTGTCTATTTGTGCATTTTGCAGGTCATTTTATTGATAACCATTGTGAGGATCAAAACCCCAAAAGGTGTTGTCATACTCAAATCTATTGGATGTCAAATATAGAGCACTCTGCAGTGGTAAGAAAAAAAATTCTAATAAAGAGATCTTTTTTATAGTTCTTTTGATTTGAACTTTTTAACCAGATTAGTTATATCCACACCAATCATGAATATGTTTTTTAATCAAATAATGGGATGGCACAGCACAAATCAAATAAACAAAATGGAACACACCTCTGATTCAATAGTAGCTTGCAATAGCTGCATGAAACTGCCATAAGTGTTTTGGAGCAGAGGAAGACCACCCTGTTTTGCAAAAAAAAAAAAGACAGTGTGGGAGTTATGACTGTGCACATAAAGTTTTAGTTAAATATTTTCATTTAATATGTGTTTTATTTTTTCTACTCACTGCCACCTCAGCACCAGGAAGAATTGCATTAGGTGAGACAGAGACTTGCTGGATTAAATTTGTATAGGTGATGCCTCCCTCCTGTGATAATCTGAATAGCATCCCATAGTCTTCATTTGATTCTGTCTCTGTGCCCTGCACATTTGGATAGATGAAAAAAATGGCATTACATCCTTTTTTCTGTACAATGTAATGGCATTTGCATGAACTGAGAGCTCCCATAATTCAAAGAATGACTACAAGAGAACAACTACTTGAATCAGAGCAGTTTTAACAGTTAGCGAATCAAGATATTTCTGAGTTGTGCACTATTTAGAAATTCAGTCACCCAGTTGGGCATAAGGAAAAGCAGACACTCTGCACAAGATTTGCAATAGTTGAGGGCAGTTTTTTTGCAGTATTTTTGCATTACAACCACATGAAAAAAATAGACCAGATTAATGTTGTGTTGCTTATGAGTTTTTATATAATAAAGTTTTATGCAGGGAAGCAGCAGAAAACTCAAGGATAGTGGAAAGGGAAGAAAAGCAAAAAAAAAAAAAGACAGAAAGGAAGAAGAGGTTAAACTAGAGAGGGGGAACACAGAACAAAAGAACCCTCCATCAAGTAAATTTCCCCCAAGTTCTTCCTGTTCTTTCCTCAACACACGTTGTTCTTCAGAGGAAGGGGGTGGTGGAAAGGGAAGAAAAGCAAAAAAAAAAATCAAAAGATGGGAGGAAGAGGTGAAAAGGAGGGAGGTGGGAACAAAGAGCAAAGAGAAAAACCTTCATTAAGTAAAATTTTCTTAGGTTCTTCCTGTCCACCCCAGCACACGTTCTTCTCCTTTTTCGTGTTCTTTCTCTCCTCTCTCCTTTTTGCTTTTCCAATCTGAGTTTTGATCTAAGTTTATATCCTCTCCTCTCGTTTTTCTTTTGGATCTGAGTTTCTATCTTGTAGCACAAGACATTTTTTTAAGAGACCCAGGGAGTGGACCATTTTTGTGACAGAACCCAAATCGGAGCTAAAAAGCCCAAAACGGGTATCATGTGAGAGCCCATTTGTTTTGTTGAAAAAAGCCCAAATCACAGCTAAAAAACTGAAAATCCAGACTCACTGAACTACAGCCCAAAAAAGACTTGGGCCCACACTTTCGCTGGCCCATACCACAGCCCAAAAAACTGGGGCCCAAACATTGGGCTTTTTGTTAGTTTTTTGGACCCAAAAGTGTGTTTTAAACAACTTTGGGCTTTGGGCTTTTTGTTAGTTTTTGGGCCCAAACAACTGCACCAGGTTGTGATTTTTTTTGCACGTCACGTGTTGATTTTTTAAGCTTTACCGTTAGATACATATCTAATGGTGCACAAAGTTGACTGATCAAATGAAAAAATTGCAATCGACTGTAGAATAGGCGGCCCCATATAATATGACAGTGTGGGTAATAAAATATTATTATACTGAAAAAACACTACACATCAATAATAGATAAGCTCATGTATTCATCTACACGAGAAATTTCACAAAGTTTCTAACCACAACAAATGGCATGCAGCAGCAACCCCAAAGTTGACGAAGACATCCAATCATGCCGACGTGGTAGTCCATGTCGTCGTCGCCATCGTCTTCTTCTTCCGACGCTCCGGGAGTTGACCTATGGTCAACGACATCGTCATCGTCATCATCGTCAAGAGCTCCGGGCTTTGAGCTAGGGTCAAGGACGTGGCCGGCGAACACGACGGCGCCCGACGTCTCCTCGATGACAAAGAAGGCGAAAGGATGGTCGGCGACGAAGTCCACGACCACCGGCCGTGGCCGCTTCGCACTCGCGAGGCACAATGTCGCACCGGTGACGGCCGCCGCCTCGGTGCCTTCCTCGTTCACCTCTATCACGGCCTTGTGGACGAGGCTCCTCATCGACAGCGGCCGCCTGCCGCCGTCGTCCTCCACCATCTTGGAGAAGTCGGCTACCCCGTCGCTGAAGGTGACGTCGAGGCCCAGGCCACGGAGGACGCCGGCGATGTCGTCGGAGAAGGTGAGCTTGAACTTGGGCAGCATGAACTTGCCGACTCGCACCGTCTTCGTCGGCAGCGCCGCCTGCAGGAGGCCCGGGGCTGACGCGATCTCGTCGAGGAGGTCCCAGAGCCCGTCGCGCGCGTCGGGGAGGAAGACGCACATGGAGAAGCGCGACGGCGGCGGCGACCACGGCGGGCGCCGGCCTTGCTCGTACGGGAGGCGGAGCACCTTGAACCCGTCGTGGCAGGCGATGTGGTGGCGCGGGAGCGTGCTCCGCATGAAGCGCGCGTCGACGGCGGCGGCGGCGCCGAGGCGGTGGAACTTGTCGGTGATGGTGAGCCTCTTCTTGAAGGGCTCCTCCCACTTGCCCTTGAAGTAGACGGCGTTGGTGACGACGACGTCGGCGTCGGCGGGGAGCTCGCCGTCGATGACCGAGTCGATGAGCTCGTTCGTCGCCTTCTTCGCCCACGCGTTGATCTGACCCACTGCTTCCCGCCGCGACCGCATGTCGACGGCGTGGGTCTCCGCCATGAAGGAGAGGACGGCGGCAGCGCGGAACGACGGCGCGAGCGTCCTGGCCATGTCGTGCCACACGGCGGACACGAACGACACGCACGGCCCGCCCGTGCCGGACAGGTCGGCGAGGGCCTTCCCGGCGAGCCGGCCGACGAGGCCGGCCAGCTCGTCGTAGGACGCCACGCCGAGGACGCCGAGGAGCTCGGCGAGCGTGTCGCCGGCGGCGCCCGCGGCGACCAGCGCGAGCGCGGCGTAGACCGACAGCGGCGAGAACACGAGGTTGCCGCCGCCGCCGGCGGCACTCGCCGGGATCCTCCTGGCGAGGCGGATGGCGAGCTCCGTCAGGCCTGGGCACGACGGCGGCCGCGCCACCGCGGCGAACCCGTGGTCGTGCCGCGACCTCTTGCTCGCCTTCGTCTTCGATGCCATCGCGGCGTCGACCTAGCTTAGCTGCTTGGTTAACTAAATTAAATTCGTTCGCGTTGGAATTAATCTACGTGTCAGGTATATATGCAGCTGTTTGTCAATCCGAAAGTAGAAAGAACCGGAGTACTACTGAATCTTTCCCGTATCGGATTTGAGTCGGAGTACTTGCTCAAAAATTCTTTAAATCGGGCGCCCGCGCCTCCGCGAATCCGTTTTATTTTTTTTCCACCAACAATATTTCAATAAGTGTATCCATAATATTTCACTATGTATGGATCAAATGCAGTGAATTGAAATATCCTTTTGCTATTTACTGAAATATTGTTTTTATATAGGGTGAAACAACATCTGATTTTTTGGAAACCGTTTGTTTCATATACGCAACGTTTGATAAGTTACGCATGACTTAAAATTGGTTCCTCACCCTTGTGCAGGTGTAGCCTCCTTTTTGTAGTTTTGTTTTGCTGCGGAAATTCAAATTTGTTTGTTTTTTTGGAAACACTCTGAATAATACGGTGCGTGAAACAGCGTGGAGTCCAGATAAGTTACACGTGACTTATCCGGCTACGCTAAAATTGGTTCATCACCCTTGCGTAGATGCAACTTTCTTTTGTAGTGTTATTTTGCTGTAGAAAATTCAGATTTGTTTGTTTTTGGAAACACTCCAAAAAATCCTGTGCGTGAAACGGCGTGGAGTCTGGATAAGTTACACGTGACTTATCCGATTACACGGAGCGGAGATCGTGCAGGCGTCCTAATCAAGTGTACTGATATCTCTATATAAGCTGAGTCGCCGCCTCCACGCAACATGTGTGAAATCAATTTAGGGTTTGTCTCCTCCTCTATATTGCATCGTCGCTCGTAGTCTACTCCATCCCACTCGTCGGCGTGCACTGACAATCGGGTGAACAGGTCTCCGGAATCTACGCCTTCAATGTACTGTACCGGGAGAAGACGGCAATAAGGTTTTTGGGAAGCGCTTCGCGCAACTGCTCCCTATTCGACCATAATGGCTCGTCTTCCTCTTCGCTCGCGTGCTGCACGCCGTCGTTAACGCCCGCAACCGCGAATACTTCCTGCTGAGCAACCGGTCTTCTGGTACCCACAGTACGTGTTGAGTATGTTGCGCATATTTGATCTGTTCATACTTTACTGTCTAGTATACATGTGCAGATCTCATGATGCGTTTATGCTAGTTTATATCTGCAATGTCATAATTTATTTATGGAATAAATTACATCATTATGTGCTTATAAATTCAACAATCCAAAAATCTTATTATAGGCACTATGAAGGACAGAAGGATGGAGGGGACTGCGCCGCCACCACCGCTATAGCTTCGCTGCCGGTCGGGTCATCGTCTCGACTCACCCGGCACATGGCTGGCTAGCCGCTCCGGCGATCGATCTGGCAATCTCGATCACGCCGTCTGGATCGATCTATGTCCAAACCCCGCATGCTAGGGTTTAGTTGACGTTGGGGTGCTTCTCTGATTTAGACTGAATTAACCAAATTAGCTCTATCTTTTGATATTTAGAAAAATAAAATGATTTTTTTCCGTGGAAAAATATAATGATGTTAGACTCTAAACATACTCCCTCTATTTTTAAATATAAGTATTGCATTGGACATATCATTAATACTTCAAATCTGGACAAAAATGTTCTGATTTGTAATATAGGATGGTCTGTCTAGATTCTTTGTAATAAGATATGTATAGCTCATTACTTGGTATATTTTTATGACGAGAAAGCATTTTTTTTTCATCTTATTAGAAAATATTAAAAATCTTATGACATGCATTTTGAATATATTACATTTTGATTTTTTACGTGCATTTGATCATTTGTTTTATTTAAAATTTTAGGATAAATATACAAAATATATATATGTCATGTGTAAAGTACTTTTAACAATACACAAGTTACAACAAAAGAAATGGTGCTTACATCTATTTTAATAAAACAAATGGTAAAATGTCATGTCAAAAAGTCAAAAATGTATTTTTTAAAGAAACAATGTCATAATTCAAAATGGAGGAATTATAATTTTGGAGTACTATTACATTTATTTAAATTATTTTACTGGTGGTAAAATAAACCGTAAGCAAGACAGGATTCGCAATCTGAGTTTTGGGGATGGAATGAGAGTACAGGAGAGATGATGTGTTTCATGAAATTTCAACACAAACCAAGAGGAGCTTGATAAAATTCAAACATAACTCGAATGGAATTGTGAATCCATGAAGTGAGGCCTCGTCAAAATTAATCTTGAAAAGAAGTCATGAAAGAGACAAATATTGGTTGTACATATCAGACCTAAAATTTGCTTTAACCAACTAGCAGAGCTCAAAAAATAACAGAGATGCAACCTAGAAAGTTCCCCAATAAAAACTACCTAATCGAGATATACATTAATTACTGGATTACATAGAGATCTCTAGAGAAAAGAGGTTTAACAAATGTATGTGCTACCAATACATTTCTTAGACATGCACCTTTTAGTTAACTTGATAATTTATTCACATCTTATATATCTAAACACAGAATTATGTGAACCACAGTAGATAGCTTACGTCTAGGCCGTCTCTTAGTTTGTAGGACGTTAATCTTCGCCAGAGGTATACCATTTTGACTCAGGATCTTTAAAATTTTCTTAACCCTTTCATCACCTTCTTGACATTTGATTTCAACTATATTGAGGTTCTTAAACAGAAATGCTTGTTTGCATGGCTTGTCACTGTCTTCGATTTCCACAAAATTTCGAGGTTCCTGTAGCAAGTAAGGTTATCGCTAACATAAACCATCCAAGAATTATAATTGTACAAAGCAATCCATCTTGAAGTCACATACCTTAGAAAGTTGAAGAGTGAGCTTCTCTACAATTGGCGAGTGCTCAAGAAGGCAAGCTAGCCCTGACATATTAGAAGTCATGAACCACTCATTGACTAACAAGGTCTTTAGCTTGCTAAAAATGGGGCACCACATCAGATCCCTTCTGAACATAAACTGGACAAATTGCAGTGTAGGTAGATGAATTCAAAAATTAATCCGAAACACAAAGGAATTTTGCATTTGAGAATTGAAAGAAAATAAACTACAAGTAATTAATTTATTTTGATCATGATTTATAAGTTCCTCTAGCTTATAGAGGTATATCTTATTACATATACATTGGCCATATCAGATGTGTTCATAAGATATAGTATATTCCATCTAAGAAACTTCTTTGATTTTTTTTTCCAAAACAAATCAACCACTAGGAATGTTATCAGTGAAACATAATGATAAACAAGAACTTGCTGATGGAAATGTGTAAAAAATCAGCTTGTTTGAAAATAAACTAATATGGGGGCATATGACTATGCAAATATTGAAAAATAAGAAATGGACAACAAACAAGCAGAATAGCAGGAATTGCCAGAAGTTGAAGCATACCACCCTAGACTCAGTTGTCAACTCCAAAGTCGTAGCGCCTGATAAACCTTGAAGAAGCACACAGCCGTTACCATCACTGACCATAACATCACAATCATCACATTCAGGATCACCGCAATCCCCAAATTCAGTGTTCGCACAACGATCCCTACACTCATGATCCAGATTGACAGATGCAGTAACCAACAATGGCATGCCTTCGAGCAAAGGAGTACTGCCCCAGAACTCCAGTTCCAGAGAAATAAGACCTGGGGTAGAAATACGGGTGCGGAACTTGCGATTAAAGCCGCTACCGTCTATGATCAGATGTTTCACTGATGGAGACGAGATCCTGCGAGCATTGATGAATCCACCCTGAAACTTTGGGTGCTCCAATGATGGACAACCCGAGAAATCAACCAAGCTGTCTTTGATCTCTACAAGTCTAAGATCCAACACCCTCAGATGGTTGGAGACGAGAGGCAGGTCGGGCAGACAAACCGGCTCGTCCTCCACGTAGACCTCTACTCTGATCAGCTGAGCTCCGCGCGACACGGCGTGCCGGAGCCACAGGCCGACGTCCGGCTCGTCGGAGGACGGATACTGGTAGGAGTCGAACTCGCAGCAGTAGAAGTTGATCACGCAGGCGTCCAGCGGCGCCGCGCCGTCGCGGAGGAGGAGCAGATGCTTGACGAACTCGTTCAGCCCGCGCACCGTCTGGAACCCCTCGTCCGGGACGATCCGCAGGAGCGGCGCCGACCTCCAGAGGTGGCGCCACCGCCGGGACAGCGCGCTCGTCTGCACGGTCTGACGCGCCGACAGTAGCGAGACGACGCGCTGGAGCAGATCCTCGGGTAGGTCCCCGATCTTTACCCTCCCCGACCTCGCCGCCGACATTTTCCTCATCTTGGCCCGGGGAAACATTCCGTCGAACAGGGTAGCTGCACTGCGGATCACGAAACAAAGCGGCGCGTTTGGAAAGCCAGGAGAGGAGGAGAACCGGACAAGAGATCAGTGGTTGTTACCGGTGAGCTCCACTCGCCGTCGCCGGTGGCTGGGGGGGGGGGGGGCATTGCGCGGCGGAATTGGCGCGCGCTCCCTTCTCTTTTCCCGCGCGAGGGTGTGTTAGGGTTTCTTTTCACAGCCTTCGGCCCGATCTGAAGCCCAACACCAAAAGCCCAAATTGCGTCGTGCTCCGCAGTCGAACACCTCCGGCGGTTATATAGCATCAAAAGTTCATGTTTTTTTAGCACCGAAAGATACCACTTCATTTTAATAGCATCTAGAGTTTACCATGTTTCCATTTTTAATACTTTCATCAATTCTCGATTGTTTTTCGTCCGCCTTGATCGCTATTGACCCGGGTTCTAGCCCTCACAAGTACAAGTAGAATGTATGACAATGAGGGGTACAAATACCATATCGCGTGCGTTGCTAGGTCAATAGCGATCAAGGCGGACGGAAAACGATTGAGAATTGACGGAAGTGTTAAAAATAGAAACGGGGTGAAATTTAGATGCTATTAAAGTGAACAGGTATCTTTCGGTACTATAAAACCAAAAACATGAACTTTCGATACCATATAACCAATTTTGCCTAGATATTTATATTTACGACTAATTATTTTTTTCAGTGACAAATAACATACTTATCAACAACAAGAAGTCCATAGGGTCCTTTCTAGGTGATCATAGGTATATAGTGTGCGTATGTATGTACGTTCATAAGGCAATCATAGATGTAGGGTATGCATTTGTTTTTATAGGGATAAGTGTATACACGTTGTGAGTTTCTGTACCATGTTTCTTAAAATCACTTGAGGATATTATTAATGTCAAGGGGTGACCCTCTCTAGCGGGAGGCTATGAGGCCCCCCTTTGAGAGTTCGGCCGGGGGCAGTGGGTGAGATTTGAGGATTCGATGAGCGAAGCAGTGTGATGTTGAGGGGGTCCAGCCCCTCAAAGACGATGAGATCAAAAGGGTTTATATAGGTTCGGGCCGCTATCGAGCATAATACCCTACTCCTATGTGTGGGATTTATAGCAGGAAGTTACAGAGGTTCCTAAACTGTGGAGCGCACTCTCGCTCTTCTTCCCCTGGGATTTGGGCTAACTGAAAGTCGTTCCCTTTTTCGGCGGGCAAGGTCCTCCTTTTATACCTCAAGGGGTTACCACATGGGCCCAAAAACCTCGCTCCGGTGGAGAAGTGTTTTGCATTAAATGTCTGCCTTGTCTCTTGACTTGGGAAGCAAGCGCACGTCACCTTGATGATGGGGCCTGTCAAATCTTGCCGCCTGACACGGGGGCACCCATGTCAGCTGCTATTAATGGGTGAAGACTTATGGGTCCCTGTTTACACCGGGAAACAGGAACCCCGAATTGACTAGGGTGGATGGACCAACTCTGGCCGGGATGAGAGGTTAAGACCTCTCGTCACCATGACTGATGGGACAAGACAGGGTGCACGCCCCCTGACCCATGCAGTAGTACGCCTGACACCCCGGGTCCCATCGGTCATTCGACCGGTCACAGACCAATTTAGCGCGCGCTGCACGCTACATTAAATGCGGCGTGGCGCGCCTGCTCAGGTCGCCATTAATGCGGGTAGGTGAGCACTCGAAGGTGGCCACCTAACCCACCGCACGTGGCGACCGCTGAGGGGGTCGGGGGAGCCCGAGCCCTAGTCACATGAGGGAGTGGCCGCCGCCCCACCTTGGGTCTGACTCCCCCTAGGGAGGGCCACGTGGCATTGGGGGGGCAGTCTCCTCCGTCTAGTCTCTAGGAAGGAATGGCTGCCACCTCACCTCGGGCCTGACTCCCCTCGGGGGAGGGCCACGTGGCATTGGGGGACAGCCTCCTCCATCCCGTCTCTTGGAAGGAGTGGCCGCCACCTCACCTCGGGCCTCACCCCCCTCGGGGGAGGGCAACGTGGCATTGGGGGGCAGCCTCCTCCGTCTAGTCTCTGGGAAGGAGTGGCCGCCACCCCACCTCGGGCCTGACTCCCCTTGGGGGAGGGCCCGTGGCATTGGAGGGCAGCCTCCTCCGTCTAGTCTCTGGGAAGGAGTGGCCACCGCCCCACCTCGGGCCTGACCAGTGGCGAATCCAGGATGAAAATAGAGGTGGTGCTAATACTCAGCACTGAAAATCATATTTCCTAAAAAATATGATCTTAAAATCCATGTTTCATTCTGTAAAATCATGTTTGTCCAGCTGTATTAGACCCTCCAATGGGTCATAATATCTGCCTAATTGTCTTCACCGGTTAGGCTTGGTATACCATTTAGCAATTAATAAACCATTTAGCAGATGGAGCACTAATCACACCACAGACCTATATGCGAGTTGCCTTCTTCTCTAAAGCTGCAGGCCCAAAATATACCTTCTCTAATTGCCCTGGTGTAATCTGCTAGCTTTGAGCTTACCGGGAGAATACTTGGGGACGGAAAATGGAGCTGGGGCTTGAGCCCCAACAAGCCCCAACAGTGAATCTGCCCCTAGGCCTGACTCCCCTCGGGGGAGGGCCACGTGGTATTGGGGGCAGCCTCCTTTCTCTACTCTTGAGACCCCCAGGCCAATATCACTGACAAATAACAATAAATTATTGTTAATTATTTTCGATTTTTTCCCATTTGAAACTGCAAAAACCTTTTCTTGCCTTCCGAAGCCCAACAGCCATAATAATCCAACAACGTTCTCTGCTCCTCAACAGCTCAAGCTCAACACAACCTCCCCTCCTCCATCCAGGTCCAGCTAGGCGAGGCGATTGGAGCCATCGGCGTCAAGGTTGAGACAGGGATCAACGAGCGAGACGCAAATCTTTCCCTCCCCTCCAAGGGCGGAGCTAGAGCGAAATGGAGGGTGGTGCCACTTGCTTAATTTACTCTACATTAAATCGAGTTTAAGCTGATGCTGGTGCTTAAGTTTGTATTGAGGGGGTGCATACATGGTGAAAATAGATGAGGTATAGCTAAAAAATTTTCTTGACCAGGTTCTTGGACACTCCCTATTATACACTAGCTCCGCCCCTGCTCCCCTCCTCATCACCATACTAGGATGATTTCTTGTTCCGAAGGTGCTCACCAATCGTTCGACGGAATACTCTCCAACAAAAAGGGCCAAGAAAGAAAGCGGCAGTGGCGGGCGGAGGCGTCCTCATCGGCGCCCTCCCGGATAGGGATGGCAATTTCCCCCGCGGGGCCGGGTCCCCTACGGGGACGGGGGCGGGTGATATTTCTAACCCGCGGGGATGCGGGGCCGGGGCCCCGCATTTGGTCAGGTCAGGGGTTGGGGGAAACATTCCACCCGCGGGTGACCCATGGGGCCCCGGGAGGAATATTAAACTTTTCAAAATATAGTCCATTGCAGGCAAAAAGCCCATCTTAATAAAATTATAGAAATCTGGGGTATATAAGAAAAGAAATCCTAACCCTACCTTATCCTCCCCCACGCCGCACTTCTTTTTCCCGACTTTCGATCTCACGGAGACGGAGTCGCGGTTTCTCGCCGCTCTCCCTCAGTCACAGCCGCCGCCACTCGCCAGTCTCCCTCTCCCTCTCCCCTCCCCTCCTCTCCCAAGTGCCCTCCCCTCCTCTTCCCTCCGGTCTCCACGCGGCACAGAGGTGTGGCGGCGATGGTGCAAAGGAGGCGACGGGGCAGTGCAGAGGCCGCGACGGAGAGGAGACGATGGCGTAGAGGAGCGGACGGCGCGCAGGCTTGGGCGCACGGCGAGCGAAGATGTGTTGGCACCAGGCGAGCAGAGGATTCACACACTGAGAATTATTTGTGTTCTTGCTATGTTCTTGCTGAATTTTGATGATACTATCTAAGTATTCGTGTTATTTTTTATGATGTGTGAAGTATGTACAATATTTGTTTTCTCTGAATAGAGATTATCTTGTATTTTTTTTTTGCTGATTGAATGGAGTGGCTACACAATGCGGGGCCCCGGTCGGGTTGCGGATCCCTGCAGGGGCCGGGGGCAGGGGATGGTTTGGCCCCGCATCTTCACTCGGGGCAGGGGCCGAGGCCGGGGCCGGGTGGAGAGGTCAGGGGTCGGGGACGGGGCCGTTCCAGCCCAACCCACCCCGTTGCCATCCCTACTCCCGGACGCGATACTGCACCGCATCCTCTCCCTCCTCCCGGCGCAGGAGGCCGTGCGGACGTGCGTGCTGGCCCGGCGGTGGTTTAGATTAGAGTCCCAAGAGTCTATCTATAGACCGTATGTTTTGGGCTCTCTGTCCCGTTAATGGGCTTCTGAGCCTTAGGCTCGTCGGCCTTGTAGGGCGCAGCGGCTTAGCCCTAGGGCTTCCTCCCCCATCTGATACGCCGCCCTCTGCGAACGCCAAGGTTTGCATCTGCCGCTGGTCCTTTGCCTGCAGGTGATTCCCTAATAAAAATTGTACTATTTTTGTTCCTTGGGCGAATATAGTTTGGTGAACTAGATGTGCTGCTAATATTTGTTGCAGCGGCATGTCATATGGCCTTAGTTGCGTGCAGCAGTAGGCGGAAGGTTAACGCCGGCGATCCATCCTCGTCGTGGGCGTCTCTGCACGAGGACTTGGTGAGCCTAATCGGATAGCGAGTGGCAGCCGGCGACTTCCGCGACTACATCCACTTCCGGGCCGTGTGTCCCCAGTGGCGCTCCGCCACCACCTGCCCGCGCCGCCGCGGCATCCTCGACCCGCGCTTCCACCCGCGCGGGTGGATGCTGCTGCCCGAGGGCCGCGGCCTCCACCCGGGCCACGGCAAGCTCCGCGGCCACGTCCGCTCCTTCCACCTGTCGACCGGCGCCATCGTCCGCGTCAGGCTGCCCCATTTCAGGGACCACTGCATCCTCTACTCCGCCGACGGCGTCCTCCTGCTGCAGAGGGACCACGACACCGCCATCCGCCTCCTCCACCCCTTCACCGGCGACACCGCGGAGCTCCCGCCGCTGGAGACCCTCCTGCCGCGGGTGCGCTGCCGCTCCGAGGTGTCTCGGTGGTGCTCCCTTCGAAACATCTGTGGCGCCTGCATCAGCGTGGGTGTAGGAGATGGACTCGTCAGGGTAATGATGCGGCCGATCGGCGTGTGGAACATATGTTTTGCTACCTCCGGTGATCAGCAATGGAGGGTGGCTACAACCTGGGATCGCATCAACCACCGTTCTTCTACATTGCCATTCCATGGGAAGCTTTATGTGCTGCTGCGACCTCATTCGGTGAGAGGTGAGAATGAGGTCATACAGATCGACCCACCCCAGCACTGTTTATCGGAGCCATCACCAAAGTTGATTGCAAAATTTAGATGGCCAACAAGCGATGAAAGCTTTCGATTGTATTCCTACCGTCTGGTAGAATGCAACTCTGAGATTTTGGTGATTGGCACAAAATGGGATGCGGTTTACTACTCAGTTTACAGGCTAGCTGATCTTATGCTGGGAAGGACTGTCCATGTGACATCCATAGATGGCAATGCACTCTTCATTGGTAGGAGGTCACTCTGTGTCAGCTCTAAGGCGTTCCCTACCATTGTTCCTGACACCATTGTCATGCCAGACACCAAAATCTATCTTAGTCAATACCACCTCAGTAATGGCACATTATCACAAGCAACAGATGGAGTAATTGCAGAAGAAAAAGATATTCCAGGTCCTTATAGCATCATGTGCCATATCATAACCTGTTGCTCTCCTGCATACTGGTAGGTGCCCAGTTTTCAATGTTTGCAGTTTTCAATGTTTGTTCTGGTAAACTGCGATTGTTCCTTTCACTCAATGTTTTAAATAGCTAGCTAAGGCATTTAGTGGTTAGCTTCTCAAACAGCTATAGCAGCAGCTATACCGGGCTAAATGGAGCTATATATAGCGGCTAAATTGTACATGAGAACAAATTACTAAAATCCTTCTCAAACAGCTATAGCGGGAGATAGCGGCAGTTTAGCGGGAGATTTAAAACCCTGCTTTCACTTGAACATTTTATTTATGTTGCTATTGCAAAGCTCACTCTCCCTCCCTCCCCCTTTCCTCTCTGCTGTAGGAACAAAGGGAAGATATCATGTAAGGAGTTGCCCACATGGAGGGTGAAGAAAAAATTTCGTTTCGGGGTGAGTCTCACCTATAGTGCAATGATTATGCTGTATTTTATTTATGCATATTTAGGTTTTACTGCTGGGGATGCCATATTTCACTAAATAAAAGTTTGCCGTTTGTGTTGTGTTTGCCATACGAGAGCACAACACAATCGGGTCAGCCACCAATCCAACCTAAAGCACAATGCATTCAGAACGCCGAGCATGGCAACCACAATTAGACCCAGTTGAAGTTTAGTCACAGTTGTCGTTTCATTATTGTAGTGACGCTGGCCTCTATTTCAGTCATAAATGACTTTAATTACCTTGCATTATATTTTTGTTCCTGGTGTAACTAGCAAAGAGAAAACAAGTTATCTCAGATTATCTCTTATATTTCAGTTGGTACAATCACTGACTTATGCATAATTTTCTACTCGTATTATCCCAGGCATAAATAGGTCACTGCACCATGATGGGTTACTGCCGCCTGGTTTCCCGACTGCTTTTATATCTATCTAGTTATATTATCGTTGTCTCTGATATATGTTTTTTCTGCACTGTAATAAGTTATTATATTATCGTTGTGTGTCTCTGATAGATGTTTTTATGTAATGTAATAAATTAATATATTATTATCGTTGTGTGCCTCTGATAGATGCTTTTTTTTGCACAATAGATTATTATCGTTGTGAGTCTCTGATGTGTTTCTGCACTGTAATAAGTTATTATCATTTCCAAACATCTAATTTCACTATGGCAGTTACCTTGGTACCAGCCGTTACTGTTTAATTATTTTTTGGAACCGTCTGCATCTTGGTATATTTGCAAGAAGCCCCCCTCACGAACAGGAATCCAGGCGAGGTCGTGAGACGACGACGAGCGATCCGATGGCTCGTGCTCCCAGGCAAAGTGGCCGCCAGACGCTGCGCTGTACGGTCATCGTATCCACGCGCCAACGCACATTGTGACAGGGTTCCCCAAACCGCCGGGGCCAGGGTTACCGCGCCCTAGAGGTAAGCACGGTTACCACACGGTAAACGTGGTAACCGTGAAAAACTGTGCAAAATTTATTAAAAATTCAAATTATTTTTTAAATTTATTTGAATTTAAGGAGGTTACCGTGGTATTTATATTACCGTACATCGCGGTAAGCCTGGTAACCGCGGTAACCGCGTGGTTACCAGGGCGGTAAGGTAAACCCTGGTTGCGCATGCGACATGCGGGAGAAGAGAAGATGCGCGCCAAAATCGAACTAGAAATAAAAATAAAAGCGAACTAACGAGTCCTTAAACGAGTCCTTAGGATAAGATACAAGAGGATTCAATGAACAACTGACATCCTAGTCAAACATTATTTACAAATTGAACATTGAACATCCACAAAGAGGAGTTGAACAACTATGGGAAGACGTTGAGCCACCAAAGTGATGAAATAGGCACATATCACCATAGTAGTAAGCTTGACGCTGCAGCCGCCCGAGAAATTCAGCGTTGTCGGCAATGAAACAATTCAAGAAAGGGAACAATGAAACAACTTCTGAACTGCCCCAAAAATCACCATAGGAGGCTTTATCATATAAGGGACGACTCGAGGGCAAAGGCATTACTGGAATATCTCTAATTATACAACACGCTTGGAGGCAATATCACCCCTAGAACAGAGGATCAGCATTTTTAGACGTCGTCCCCATTGAAAGTTTTCTCAACAAAATCGTCATAGCTTCGTTACTTCGTAGAGGGCTGTTGAGTACTCCCTCCGTCTCTAAATATTTGACGCCGTTAACTTTTTTAAATATGTTTGATCGTTCGTCTTATTCAAAAAAATTAAGTAATTATTAATTCTTTTCCTATCATTTGATTTATCAATATACTTTTATGTATATATATATATATAGTTTTACATATTTCAAAAAAGTTTTTAAATAAAACGAACGGTTAAATATATTTTAAAAAGTCAACGACGTCAAATATTTTGGGACAGAGGGAGTATAACCCTTGGCAGGTAATTTGTTGTACATAGGTTCCATCACGTTGTCATCACTACTATAAAAACCCACATAGGGACCGGCCTTATAGGTGTCGGTTCATTTAAAACCGACACCTATGACCCTTTTCCCACCTCCACACGATGAAAAAAAAGTAGAATCGACACCTTTAAACACTATAGCGGTTCTATTAAAAAACCAACACATATACTATAGGTGTCGGTTTTTTGTTTAGAACCGACACCTATAATATAAGTATAGGTGTCGGTTCTTAAAAAAACCGACACCTATAGTATTGGTGCCGGTTTTTTAATAGAACCGGCACCTTTGAAAAAAACCGAGCCTAGCCGACTAACCGAGCCCACCGTCCTTATCTACTCTCGCATCCCTCTCTCTCCCTCCCAGTCTCTCTCTCCCTCCCCTCTCTCTCTCCCACTCGCGTCTACCTCCCCTCTCTCTCTCGCTCGATCTGGAGGCGGCAGGCTCCCGCGGCCGGCGGTTGCCTGGCGGAGGCGGCGACCACTTGTGGGTGGCGGCGGGCTCGCGCGGTCGGTGGCTGCTTGGCAGAGGTGGCAGCGGCGCCGGCCGCATCCTCCCCTCCGCTAGATCCGGCAGGAGGGGAGGTGGTGGGCTCCCTCCTCCAGATCCGGCGACATGAGAGCCAGTGGGGAGGCGGCGAGCTCCCGCTGCGCCGGCGGCGGCCGTGCCCTCCCCTTCGCCAGATCCGGCGAGAGGGGAGGCGGCGGGCTCCCACGGAGGCGGCAGCACCGCCGCGCCCTCCCCTCCCGTGGGCGGCGGTGCTCCCCTTCCCAGCATCCCGACGACGCTCAAGGGGAAGGAGGAGGCGGCCAAGGGCCCTGTCACCGCCGCCGTGGTTCGAGTTTTTAATTTCTTCTCTTGTTTAATTTCTCTTCTCTTGTTCATGTGTGTACTGAGAACATGAAGATTTGGATTAGATGAAAATTATAATTAAATGAATGTAGGAATTGTTATTGTTATTGATGTGTTCTTTGGATTTTGATTTTGGATGTGGGGATATTATTCTGGATTTGTGGATGTGGAGGGGATTACAGAATGTGGAGGGGTTCTTCTGGATTCGGGATGTGGGGATATTTCGGTTCTGGATCGGCTCGAGGTTTTTTTTTGGCTCGTGTGGACCTATAGGTGCCGGTTCTGTTTTACCTATAGGTGCCGGAAGGATGTATTGGTGCCGACCAATTGGTGCCGATTGGGAAACCGGCACCTATTGCCAGTTACCAACCGGCACCAATAGCGTTTTCTGTACTAGTGCGTTCTCTTTGTTTGATTGGCCTTAAAAAAAAAAGATAGATGTTGGCCTGCCTTTCGGTTGGCTCGCCATAGACGTGATCACGTGGGGTAATGGCAGCTTTCTGATCAAGAGGAAGAAAATGTGCAACACCTCCTCGCTACGTGCATATCTTAAAGGGGAATTTGATTTTCAGTCCTATCTATAGTTGGTTTGCAACTATAATGCTAGGACTTTTTTTTAAAGGTGTTATCGTGCAAACTGAAATAAGTCGCTAAAGTTGCAGCAAGTTCATAGTTTAGTCATTGAACTTGTAGTTCTCAGAAATTTACTCTATTAGTTTTTTTTCCCATAAAGTTTGTACTAAACAAGCAGTTTCTCTATTAGTTTTTCTTCATAAATTTTGTTTGGTTGTTGGGTGCAGTTTCTCTATTAGTTTTTCTTCATAAAGTTTGTTTGGTTGTTGGGTTATGGCTCTCAAATTGTAATTAGGTATATACCCCTCCAAGAATGGGAGAAAATCTCAATTAATAATATAATGACGCTCTCTTGCGTGTTTGAGAAAGGAAAATAGAACTTGAATCGATCATTCAAAAGGAATTCAACAAATTTAATTTGCATCAAGTCTAAATCAATGGGAAGGCACCTCCATGCAATTTCTTAGTAAAAACTTCGTTTTGCTCTCTGTAATTCCCACAACAATTAGGGTTCGACCATTTGTGCGAATTTTATTAGGAGAAGATGGAATTATTCTAATTGATTAGGGTTCCCACAACAACTAGCTTTCTTCTTAATTGTTCTTATGCACGCCTTCTCCATGTTACCATTATTTTTTTTAAGAGAAAGGCCGTACGGCCCGGCTTCTATTGAAAGCCAGAGGATTGTGCTGGGAACACCCAGACACCAGTTTACAGCATAGGGAGGTTCAAAGCCCTCCAAAAGGAAAACATGAAAGACTCCCAAACTTGCTACCAGCTCTAAAAGCAACAACATAAGCAGAAAGAAACCAAAAGGCTGTCCTTACAAGTAGCGTCATGACAGCAAAACGGAAGACAAACCCCTACATCCTAAATTTCGTCTCATCCTAGTTTGTGGCATCTCAAGAAAGGAGAATTGTTCTGTGCAATTATAGTTTGTGGCATATGTTCATTGTGTTTCCATGAGTAAAACGCCCTGTTCTTTTTTTTTTTCTGACCAAATGGATTGCGAAGAAAAATCTACTACATAGCTTAGTCCTATCGGAGCCGCTCTTCACTGTGTATTGTGACATTGTGTCAATATAATGAGACGAAAGAAGCGTCTCTCTATGCCAATGAACAAGACGAAACATGGCTTAGTCCTACCCTTACAACCTGAATTCCACTCCTCGGAGTCGAGGAACTCAAATCGTTCTTAATTGGAAGTCCACAAATTTCATAACCGAATCAAAAATGCAGCTAAAACAAATTTCATGACGTGAAGATGGAATTACTCATCTGTCGGGTCAACAACGTGGCCGGCGAAGAGCACCGCACCCGACGACTCCTCCAAAACCAAGAACGCGAACGGATGGTCGGCGACGAAATCCACCCTCGCCGGCCGCCGTGACGATGGCGCCGCCGATGCGAAGGTAAGACAAACCGCGGTGGCGGCGGCCGCCTCGGTGCCCTCCTCGTTCACCTCGATGACGGCCTTGTGCTTGACGTCCGACACAAACAGCGGCGGATCATCGCCGGAGTTCTCCGCTTCCAGCACGTCGGCCAGGTCCGCCACGAACGGCTTGAACACGTCCCTGACCCCGAGACGCTGGAGCGCGCCCACGACGCTGTCGTCGAAGGAGAGCTTGAACCTGGGGATCCTGAACTCGCCGACCTCGACGCGCCGCTCCGGCGTGTGCTCGCGGAGGAAGCCCTCGCCGCCGGCCGCCATCCTGTCCTCCAGGCTCCACAGGCCGTCGCGCTCGTCGGGGAGGAAGACGTACATCGAGTACCTCGGCGTCGTCGTCGTCCTCGCGCTCACACAAGCCGCGTACGGCATCTTGAGCACCTTGAACCCGTCGTGCACGGCGATGTACTGGTCCTCGCCGCTGCGCATGAAGTCCGCCTCGACGTCGCCGCCGTCGAGGCGGTGGAACGCCCGCTTCTCGGTTATCTCCTTACAGAAAGGAGTCCACCATTGGCCGTTGAAGTAGATGGCGCTGGTGACCACGAGGCCCGTGTCCGTGCTCACCGACCCCGGCGGGAGGATCGTGTCGATGAGGTTCTCCGTCGCCGCCGCAACCCAGCTGTTGATCTCCTTCCTCGCTTCCTCCGGCTACACGCATACATGACAGATTAGATTGGTAGATCTTGTCATGTGTATATATATATAGTTCGCTTACGTTGTTGAGGAAGTCGACGGCGAGGGCCGCGGCGTTGAACGACGCGGCGGCGGCGTCGCGGAACGCCGGCCTAACCGTCCGCGTCCGCTCGTGCCAGACTCCGCACGCGTGCGCGACGCGCGGGCCGCCGCCCGGCTGTGCCGCGCCGCCGCCGGGGGCGGGGAGAGCACGCGCCATCTCGCCGGCGTTCGCGGCGAGCTTCTCGCGGGACTCTGCGCCGAGGGCGCCGAGGAGCTCTGTCAGAGTGCGCCCGCGCGCGCCGGCGGTGACCACGGAGAGCACGGAGTAGATGGACAGCGGCGAGAAGACGAGGTTGCCGGCAGCGCCGGCCTTGCTGGCGGCGGCGGCGGAGAGCTGCTTGGTGAGGCGCATGGACAGCGCCGTCAGGCCGGAGACGGCGCACCGCCGTGCACACGATTCCATGGTGGAAAAAGGTGTTCGACGCCTGTCTCAGAGATCTATTTGCACAACTCGATCACAAGACGTACGGCCCAAGGCTTTTATAGAACCTATAATCCATGAATGCTGGAGTAATAATAACATAGGCCCTGTTCACTTTGATGCCAAAAAAGATCTTACCAAAATTTGGCATTACCAAAATTTTGGCATAGTTGTCAAAATTTTGACAACTTACAAAAATTTTGGCAGGATTTCTTATATAGTTATCCAAATTCGGTTTTGCTAAAAATTTGTCGACAAATTTTTTGTTAGAAATCTCCCAGATTTTCCACCGTCTAAATTGCATTATGATTTGTGCTAGCTGCCGTTACAACCAAAAAAAAGGACTACTATAACCTCCGTGGGAGTCGATCCCATGATCTGATGCTTTGAGCGTGAAATAGCTAGCTGAGCAAGAAGGAGCAACTAATTGTTTCACTAAAACAATACTTACTTATACTGTATTAGTTATACTGTATGTACATATTAATTATATTATAATTACACTATAATTATATATATTAGTTACATTGTACTTACATATTAATTACATATTAGTTACACTACAATTACACTATAGTTACATTCGTAAGTACAGTGTAACTAGGGTGTAATTTTTTAAAAGAAAGATTTTAGTGTAGTTACACTATAATTACACTATAGTTACATTCGTAAGTACAGTATAATTAGGGTGTAATTTTTTTAAAAGAAAGATTTTGGTGTAGTTACACTATAATTACACTATAGTTACAAGCGTAAGTATAGTGTAACTAGGGTGTAATTTTTTAAAAAAACTTTTTAGTGTAGTTACACTATAATAATTATATATTAGTTACACCGTACTTACATATTAGTTACACTATAATTACACTATAGTTACAAATGTAAGTATAGTGTAATTAGGGTGTAATTTTTTTTTAAAAAAGCCTTTAGTATATGTGCTGACAAGTAGTTAGTTTTGTGGCTTGGATTAACACGCCTTAATCTACACTATAGGCGTTGCTTTTTAATTTGGCTAGCAAGTTGGCCGTTTGGTGGTTAGAAAAATCTGTGTGATTTATAACAAAAATCTGTCGGGTGTTATATAGATAGATCCTCAAAATTTAGCAGTAAACTAAATGCAGCAACTTTTTTTTGGCAATTTTATCAAAATTTGGTAAAGTTAAAAATGGCATCAAAGTGAGCAGGCCCATAGTATATCGTATATTGTTAGGGACTATTAAAAAACTGCCCTAAGTTCTTTAAGAAAAAAAACTTTAATTATAGTATAATTGTAATATGATTCCACTATAACTATTATATAACTTGTATATAAGTATTAAAATAATATATACAGTTTTATATCTAACTTATATAGATATTACAATATACTTACAGTGCAGATACAATGTAACTATATAGTTACAGCGTAATTTACAATGTAACTATACTGTAATTACATTATAGTTAAACTTGCGACAGTTTTTTTTAGCAATTTCGTATATATAGCATGAAATCGCCATGGTTTAAAACCTATGTATTATTAGTACCCCCATTATTTATATTATATGTTGTTTTTACTTTTTTTAATCAAATTTTTTTAGATTTAATCAAGTTTATAGAAAATTTTAGTAACATGTATAAAACCAAATTAGTTTCATCAGATGAAAGATTTAATAGATTTTGATAATATATATATATATATATATATATATATATATATATATATATATATATATTATGTTGAAAATGCTACTATATTTTTCTATAAATTTGGTTAAACTTTAAAAAAGTTTTATTAGGAAAAAATTCAAAATGACTTATAATATGAAACTGATGGAGTAGAAAAAAGGGGCAGGCCTCAAATACTGCAATCCAAAGAAATAAAAGCTATGCTTCCCGATCTACCTGAATTTGCAACCAATTGCAACCTAAAAGTATAAATGTATCCTATTAGAGCAAGTTTAATAGAGGAGTAAGCTGTTAGCTCCAAATCATGACAAGTATAATAAAATACTCTTTCACCAAATAGCTAATTTGTACAACAATAGTCTACAAGCTGCCTCCACTCAATGACAAAACATTTCTTTTCGTTTTTTATAATGTCATGTCTACACATGTCATCTTCTCATCTACAGACTACTAATCATGTGGACCCCACAACTGTATGGTCCGGTAGGAAAACGCATGATGTTGCTTTTCTTGCCTCGACACACGCGTGGAGGCGGTGACTAATTAGTCGCCGGCTCACCCTCTTTCTCCCCAAATTTCTCTGCCAACTCACCATATTAGGCTGCATGCATGTAGTATCACCGGCAAAATTCATCTATTGTACCTGCTCTTAGCAGTCCAATAATTAATTTATAATTTTTTATTGGTACTATAAAAATTTATGTTGTTATAGTGGGTACCATTATCATGGTTATGCGTGAGAATGGCATACTGTCTCCTGCGGCACACCCTCCTTGGTGGTAGCTGTACGATAGGGTGGGGCGTGACAACAACGAAGTAGCCCAAGCTTAGAACGCTATTGCCAGCGACGACGAAGAGAGTGAAATAGACACAAATGATTGTTGTAGGAAGCTCGACGCTCTAGCCCCCTGATCTAAACTCAATGTTGTCACCATCGAAGGAAAAAAAATGCAGACGATCGACGATGACGAAATCACTTCCAAAACAGGCCGTAATCATCTAGCTCATATTCCCTCTATCGAAGTGGAGATTGCAGCTGTGATCTAGACCATATGGAAAGCCAAAAATGCAGCATGTTTTAAAAACAAGAAATCTCATGACCCTACTGAGCTAATACATAAAGTATGTTTTTCATTGAATTGTGGTCCATTTTGCTGATGTCGGAGGACGTGCAAAGAAAGCTACAACTAGGAGTGGCACCGCTAAGAAGGGTGCACTACTAGAAAACACCTAAAATATAGGTACCGGCCTATAGATGTCAGTTTATTTAAACCCGGCACCTATTTCCTTCTAACTGTAAGAGATAGATCTCGGCCATACATCATCACGTAAAATTTAATTTATACCCAAACTCGCCATAATTGTCATCTCTACTACCAAATAATGTACGGGGAGTAAAAATAGAACTCCCAAGACCAATCCCTCCATCAACTTCCTCCTTTCAAACCCCCAATCCTCTTCTCTTGGCAAACATGCCGCTAGGGTTTGGAAGGATGCGGGGGTTCGAGGGCAAGGATACACTACGCCAGATCCTCACACCTCTGACGGGATACCTGTGACGGGCAAACGATTTGGTCACTAGTGACCATTACCTCTGACGGGTCAGACGGGATAACGTCACCGGTGAGCCATCCGGCCGCGGACCGTCACAGGTATCCCCTCACCTGTGACGGGCCGAAAGGAAAACCTGTCAGAGGTATACCAGTGACGAGTTTTGCTTCCAACCCGTCACTGGTATCCCCTCACCTGTGACGGGCCGATACATTAGAAGCCGTCAGAGGTGATGGGCCGCCACCTATGACGGCTTTCATTTCTGGCCCGTCACAGGTGAGCGGATACCAGTGACGGGCCGTTGAATAGAAGCCCGTCAAAGGTATGAGCAATACCTTTGACGGGCTTTTTTTATCTAACCCGTTTGAGGTGTGTTGGGTCTATAAATACCCCCCCCAAACTGCCAACTGCTTTCCATCCCGACCATTGTACTGTTCACAAATCAGTTGGGAGGGCAAGGGGGGCGAATTTTTGCTAAAATTCAAGGTAAAAAACACATTATTCTCCATTCATTCTCAACATATCGATCATCATTTATTTTTCTTCGTATGTTGTTGATTTCAGATGGATCGTAGATGGATGTACTATGCGCATCGTTCGTCTACCGAGTATAGAGAGGGGGTCACTGAATTTGTCACATTTGCGGATAATGACAGAAAAAGTAGGATGAGCATGCACATGTTGTGCCCATGTAGGGACTGTAAGAATGAACAGATGATCGAAGACAAGGATGAAGTGCATGCTCATTTGATAATGAATGGATTCATGAAGAAATATACCTGCTGGACCAAGCATGGAGAGCAAGAGGCGCCTGATGTCGCAGCTGAAGAAGTGTTGGATCAGGATGTAGAGAACACCGCCGCAGCTCGAGAAGGCATGTTCGTACCTTCTCCTTTAGGTGGAGAGACCATAGATTTGGACACTCAATGTCTATCTACAATGTTGCATGACATTGAAGACGCAGAGGACAACGACAGAGATTATGAGAAGTTTAGTAAGTTGGTGGAAGATTGCCAGATGCCGTTGTATGATGGATGCAAGTCGAAGCACAGCAAGTTGTCATGCGTGTTAGAACTCATGAAGCTTAAGGCTAGTAATGGCTGGTCGGACAAGAGTTTTACAGAACTCCTTGAGCTGTTAAAGGATCTGTTGCCAGAGGGGAACAATTTACCTCAGACGACATATGAAGCGAAGCAAGTATTATGTCCGTTGGGCCTGGAGGTCAGAAGAATTCATGCATGTCCGAACGACTGCATTTTGTATTACAAGGAATACGCTGACTTGGATGTCTGCCCTATCTGTGGGGCATCAAGATACAAACGAGCAAAGAGTGAAGGTGAAGGAAGTAAGTCAAAGAGGGGAGGCCCAGCAAAGGTGGTGTGGTATCTCCCAATTGCGGAGCGCATGAAGAGAATGTTTGCGAACAAGGAACAAGCTAAGCTTGTGCGCTGGCATGCCGAAGAACGGAAAGTCGATAGTATGCTGAGGCACCCAGCAGATTCAGTACAGTGGAGGACAATTGATAGGATTTACCAGGAATTCTCAAATGACCCAAGAAACATGCGTTTCGCAATGTGTACGAACGGCATTAATCCTTTTGGTGATTTGAGCAGTCGTCACAGTACATTGCCAGTTCTGCTTGTTAACTATAACCTTCCTCCCTGGTTGTGTTTCAAAAGAAAGTACATTATGCTTGCCATGCTCATTCAAGGACCGAGACAACCTGGCAACGATATCGATGTGTTCCTTGAACCGATAATCGA